CCCGTATAACAAAAACCCCCCAAAAAAAAAAAAAAAAAAAAAAAAAGTGCCAGCAGGTGATATAGTGGCTAAGGCACTGGATTCACCACTTAGCTGATTTCCCAACCATGGTTAGGGTCCTGGACTGGTGGCTTGAAAATCATGCAGGTTGCATGTTTGTGTCCCCAGAATCCAGGAAGAGAATGGAAGAGAAGGGATTGTAGCATAACCATCCCTCCAGGAGGTGATTTCTCACTTTTCCCTCTGTCTCTCTGAGAGGAATGCATATGCCCTATGGCAGAAACCTTAAAAAATAATAAAGAAGGAAGTGCCTATTTGCCCACAGTCTCACCAAAATAAAGTGTTGTCAAACTTTGGAATTTTTGCCCATCTGGTATGAGAAATGATATTTCATTGTAGACATATAGAAGAATGACATGGATTTCTAGTTAAGTATAGTGAATTAAACACATGCTTCTCTCTCCTCCCTCCTAAGCCCACTAAAATGAGAGTAAAGAATATAAAGAATTTGAGAGGAAAGTACTTTTTTTATTCTAACACTGCATATTTTTATTTAAGAGTCATTTGCATATCTTGTTTTTTTTCCCTTGGTGAAATGCATGTTTAGAATCCCCCCCCTTTTTTTTTGGAGAGGTTTTTGCTATAGGGTGCGTGTGCTCGCCAGAAGGACAGAGAGAGACAGAGAGACAGAAAGCGAGAAATCACCCCCCAGGGGGATGACCACGCCGCAATCCCTTCTCCTTCATTCTCCTCTCGGGATCTTGGGCATGCATGCACACGCGCCCAGCATGAGTTTAAGCTGCCGAGTCCGGGACTTGAACTGCAGTTGACTACAAGGGAGTCCAACAACATAGACATTGCACTTACTGCTGATCCCCTCCCCCCATTTTTCTAACATTATTTGGTTTTAATTTTAAGACTTCTTTATATGTTATGAATAGCATTGTTTTGTTCTTTGTATATATTGAAAGTATTTTTAATTTGTCTTTTGAATTTGCTTCTGGTGTGTTTTACCATGATAAGCATAAAATATATATGTAGATACTCCTTTTTAAAAAATGCATGATGCTTTAGAGAGAGACTCTTAAATAAAGCTGATTGGAGGACCAGCAGTTGGCGTAATGGCTACATTGTTGGACTCCCATGTAGTCGACCGCAGTTCGGTAGCTTAAACTCAATGCACTTAAACTCGTGCACATAGAGACAGAAAGCAAGAAATCACCACCTAGGGGGGACGGTCACGCCACAATCCCTTCTCCTTCATTCTCCTCTCCGGATCTTGGCGCACACACACATGCGCCCCGCGTGAGTTTTAAGCCACCGGGTCTGGGACTTGAACCGTGGTGGACTACGTGGGAGTCCAGTGACATAGCCATTACACTAACTGCTGGTCCCCAGGAAGAATCTATAATTTCTTAAATGAGTAGAGATGGAGATTGTATAGAGGGGCCTTTTTCATAGACCTTTATTTTTTCCTCTTGTTTTCCCCTATTTCTGTGTTTGCTATCTCAATTCTGAGTATTCTTTTTTTTTTTCTTTTCAATAGTAAACCTCTGTTCTGCTCTACTGGAGGTATGGATAGTGGCTTGGGTAGACATCACTGGGTACCTGGGGATCTGTTTTTTTTTATTTAGTCTTCTAGTCAGAATTTTTATCTCATGTATGACCATTGTCTTGGGAAGTCATGGAGCTGCAGGTTTTTGAGTCCTTATTAATGAAAATTGGATCCATTCTTAGGCAGTTAGGATGTCTGTTTTCTCAGTCCTAACAATTTCTTCATCTGTCTTCTTGTCTCTCCTTTCAAATTCCTTTATCTCATTATTATTCTCATTTTAACTACTTTTGGGAGGAGGAGGAGAAGGAGGAGGGAGAAACATGTGCTAAATTCCCTGTATTTAACTAGAAATCAGGTGGTTGTGCTGTGTTTTTCTTCTTGACCCTGTTTTGTAGGTGGTTGGATGGCTCTCAGTAAAGCTGTTAGTTTCATAATATTGCACTTTTGTTTGGTGATTTCGGGTTTGTGTCTTGGTCCTCAGATGACCATGATCGGTAGCTGCAAACCCCTTGCTCTCTTGTATGCCATTTCACTCCAGGGAAGCAAGTTTGTAATTCCAAGGAAAGGATTTGTTAGTCTGGTGCTGCTTCAGGGTCTTTTTGTCTTCTCCTTGACTGACCAGACTTCACTGGATTTCATACGTAGTCTGTATTTGGCTCTTACAGTTTTTTGTAGCTTCATTTTAATGCTCCCTACCCCTTTTTGGTGGTTTTCCAAAAATTGAAATAAACTTATTTTTTTCTTTTAAGATACATTTGGTACAGTTTGAAAAACCAGTGTTCACATTATATAATTCCTTCAGGAAATTGAATATTTGAATGAGTATCTATGCCAAACCTTTCCTCACTCCTTACAGAGTTCTGCATGAGGTATGCTTCTAGTCTGACTCATAAGGTTGCAGTGAGTTTCTTGTCACAGTGAAGGGAGGGCAGCCCCTGTAAGAAGACACATGTCTAGGAACAGAGAGCTTGCAGAGTGTCTTTCACCACCCTCCTAATTAGTTGTTGTCTCTCTCAGTACTTTTGCTTCTTTCCACAAGATCCCCATTTAGACCACTCTCCTGTGCTCGCCTGTATTTCTGTTCTCATGAGTTCATCTTACACCTGCGCCATCAATAGGCACTCTGGGTTCTCTCTTATGACCTTTCTGCTTCAGCTTTTTACTGCTGGCTAACGTAGTTTCTCACTGTTGCTTAGTCATATTTCCAAGGGAAACTTGATTGGCCCAGCCCATCTGTTTGTTCTATTTCCACTGTGTCCGTAAATTGCCTGTATGACATCAGGAGTTCAGCCCTGCTCAAGCAGCGTTGGAGTGTGGAGGAAGGAGCAGTAGGGCAGCAAGATCACAGTTTATGTGATGACTGCCCCAACTGCAACTGAGACAGGTCCCCTTGGTAAGTGAGGGAGTGGGATGGAGCTGAAGACACGGTAGATTGTCTCCTTTAGTATGCCCATTTATTTTTAGTGGAATTATTTAGGGAAATACTTAGTTGTATAGATTAAATATTGTAAGAAGATAGCTAATATCTATATAATATTTATTTTCCAGTCAAATAGACTGGAAAAATATCCCCTGGTTTGATGGTGTTTTCCATTTGCATTTGACTTTAGTAGTACAGAGTGGCAAAGAGACCATTAAAGTAGAAGCTGGGAGTCATAGATGCAAGATCTGTTTTTGCTGTTCTGAAAGATTTCACTTTCCTCATTAGATAATTTTTTGGAAGATTGATGGGATAGAATAGTTCTAATGTACTGTCTAGCTATATAATACCTTGTGACTGAAAATACCATATACTAAGCTGGGAAAAGGGAATTTCCACAAGGATGATCAGAGTACAAAATTATAACATGAAATCACACTTACAGTTTAATGTAAAGAATTAGAAAAAAACGAAAACAAAACCAAAAAAAAAACCACAAGAGACTGCCTGGACTGGTACATTAGAGATACAGGAGTTTTGTAGTAGACGACACTCTCTTCATTTGAACTTGTTTTATTTGAAGATAAGATGATCTTCATAAAGTAACTTAAATCAGATACTTAAAGTCACATACTCTTTTCCTAATGCATTCAACGTGTAATACTAAAGTTGGAAATGATCTGTACTTTTTAAAAAACATAGTTGGTGTTCAGTAGTTACGTAACTTGGCTTTCTTTTACTTTTTAGGATTTAAGTGCCCTGTATGCTCAAAATTTGTACCCTCAGATGAAATGGATTTGCATCTTGTGATGTGTTTAACAAAGCCAAGAATAACCTATAATGGTAAGTCCAGTGCTTTAAAGTGATATGTTAAATTAGAATTACCTTGTATTTTATGAACTTTATGTTTCAAGTAAAATTTAGAAGTCAGACAAGGACCTTGTTTTCTCTCCATCTTTACTAGTTCAGTAATACAGTGGTTCTCAAAGTTTTGGTCTTAGGACCCCTTTACATTTTGAAAAAATTATTAAAGACTTCCAGGAGTTTTTGTTTTCTTGGGATATATATATTAATACTGGTTGCATTAAAAATTAAAACCAAGAATTTAAAGTTTTTATTAATTTATTTAAATATAAATGTTATAATTAAAGTTGACATAATTTTCAAATGAGAAATAAGCAACTTTTCTAAGGAAAATATTTAGTTGCAAGAGTGACAGTGTCTTGTATTTTTACAGACTTTAAAATCTGGCTTGATGACAGAATTCTCATGTCTGTTTCTGTATTCATTTGTTGTGATAGCGTGTCATGTCCTCTGTTATATGGGAGAGAATGGGAATGGAAAGGGCAAATAATATCTTAGTATTATCATGAAAATTTCCCCTACTCCACGGATTCTGTGGACTACACTTTGAGAACTGCTAATTTTAGGTCAGGCCTAAGTGAAAAATTATTTTTGTGGACCCAGCCATATTTGCATACTCTGTTTAGACTCTGCATTCAGCAGCCTGGGGCCACATAGGAGACCTAGGTTTGATTCCTGGTCTAACCTAAACATGAGGTATGGTGTGCATCTGTAATCCCAGCAATTTAGGGAGTCAGGAGGGTTGTGAACAGTAGGCTGGCCTGAACAACATGATGAAACCCCATTTGAAAGAACTGGAAGGCATGGTATCTAGAGCTAGTAATTTCAGCTCAGATGCCGAGACAGAGCGTTCATAACAGTGATACTTTGCGTTCAGAACAAAACAAAAGCAATGTTTATATCAGTTATTTTCAGAAGTAAGCATGCATGGTTGAAATTGCAACTTTTATCTTTTTGTTTAAGAGTGTATGGTAAATGAAAGGTACACATTCAGAAGTAGAGGAGATGAAAGTTTACTCAATAAATACAATAAACGGATGACTACTGGGAAACAAAGACATAAAGAGAGATCACAACTCCACCTGTGCATGTCTGTCTGTCTCTGCCTTTCTCCCCATAGACAAATGAAACATTTCTGTCTGTGAGCGTAGAGCTAACTGATATTTTATTTAGGTCTGGTGCTTTGGGTTGTGCCAGTCTATCCTAAGCAGCATCTCTAGACAAGATCCTAGAAAAGATTTTCAGGGTAGTCTTGATGTACTTTGGAATCTTGGGAAAAAATCAAAAAGCTTTCTCCTAATAAATAGAATAAATTAAAGGAAGAATGAAATATTTAAGAAAAATTATAAATAGAAACCAGACCTCCACAACATAAGAGAAATTTCAGGTTTTTAATTTGATTTAAAATAAAATAAGTAGCAAGAGTTAATTCATCATATATCTTCTGAGCACTATTATGGATGAGGAATTGTGTTAGAAACTAGGAATATAGCAATAAATAGAACAGAGATGGAACTTAACAGCCTACTAAGAGTCACTGATCTCTGAGCTAAGATAGTATTGATTAAATAAAGGTATTAGTTGAAAAATGTAGGAAATATTTAACACTTTGTTAGCTTAACCTGAGATTTCTACTCTGGTAACAGAAAATGTTGGAGGAGTGGAATTTAACATTGAAATGAGTATTACTTTAAATAGCTTTTGGCAAATTGATTTAGGAATCACTTTCCCCTTCTCATAAGGTAGTGTTTCAGCCACACTATTACAGTGGTGACAGGGCACTTTTTCCCACTCGTTTGTCACCAAATTTGTGAAAGTAGCTTTTAGCAATTGCTTTGACTAGTAAATGTACCTGTTGACTGTATCCTGACCTTTTTGCATTATGGAATCAAATTGACTGTTTTGCATAACTTAGATGAAACTCTAATTATTTAACAAATAAAAAGTATTTTCATTCACGTTCAGAATATCTTTTTGAGGGGGAGGGAGAGGTTTTTTTGCTATAGAGCACGTGTGCTCGTCAGAAAGACAGAGACAGAAAATGAGAAATCAACCTCCGGGGGGGATGGCCACTACACAATCCCTTCTCCTCCATTCTCCTCTCGGGATCATGGGCATGCACGCACATGTACCCAGTGTGTGTTTAAGCCACTGGGTCCAGGACTCGAACCACAGTCGACTACATGGGAGTTCAGCGACGTAGCCATTACGCCAACTGCTTGTCCCCACATTCAGAATTAGAGGTTTAAAGTGTTTGGATATGTTCCTCATAGAGCTGTTGGGTCGTTGAGAAAGTCATGATGCATTTCTGCGTAGAAAAATATGTCATGACTTTCCCAACAACCTAAAATAAATAAATGAACAAACAAGTAAACAAATATTCTTTTTTTTTTTGAGAGAGAGAGAGAGATTTTTGCTGTAGAATGCATGTGCTTACCAGAGAGACAGAAAGTGAGAAATCACCATCTACAGGGGATGGCCACGCTGCAGTCCCTTCTCCCCCTTTCTCCTTTCTGGATTTTGGGCACACACACATATGGGCCCGGCATGAGTTTTTAAGCCACCAGGTCCAGGACTTCAATTACAGTTGATGATGTGAAAGTTCAGTGATACAACCATTATGCTTCTGCTGGTCCCCCAACAACCTAATATGTTATCATTACATTTCATAATTACTTAGGGTGAGTGCAAGTGTCTTTAAAATAAATATCCTTAAACCTTAGCGCTCTGGCATTGAACTTAAAAAGCATAAAGTCTCAGCATTCTTTACATTTACTTATTGTGTAAAATATCCAAAATACAGCCTTCTGTGTGTTTTGTGACATTTGGCAGTTTTAAATTTTCTGATTTAACTGCTCAAGTTAAACTTGCCTGCTAGGTCACTTGTTTGTTATCTTTTTTATTATTTTTTTTTCTTTTATTATTTGTTTTTCATTTCATTTTCTTCCAGCACTTGTTTGTTATCGTAAGGAACCCAATATATAAACTTCTGCTTGGGGATACTATAAAGCACAGTTTCAAGTCTTAAGTATGTGACAATATTCTAATTTAGAAATTAGTAAACTTTATACAAAAAGTAAAGTTAATGAAGTTATGGCCATGCTTAAAGTAGAATTAAACCTTTTAAAAATTTAAGTATATATTAACTAAATATTCACAGCTAGGCAAACTCTGAAATAGGATAACTTGATTTAGAGTTTCATATTTATTTTCACAGAGATGGTATTTTAAATATTGACTTAGTTTTCAGGCTGTCCCACAACTTAGCCTTTTTAAAACCCATAGTAAATCTGAATATAGAAACCCTGGTACCTGAAGATGGAAGCGCTCGGTGTTTAGGAGGCTGGTTCAGTAAAGACGCATGTGAGAGGCCTAGCACGTTCATGGCAGGGAAGGGTTCTGCACAGTGCAGGTGGGGGGCCGTTTCAGCAGGATGAAAAAATTCACAATACTACAGTGAGTGTTCTTCACCACTCTTGAATATGTTTCCCCTCATTCTTGTGCTTTCTTGTTTAGTTTATGGATTTACTAATTCCTTATGTAGTCTGTGAACATAATAAAAATTTTATGAGTATAGAGTCTCTCTTCATTTCCTTCTTCCTCATCATCTTTTTTGTTTGTTTTTAATTGTTAGAGGATATGTGCACACTGAAGTCAGAATCAACTACTGTTGACCATGTGGGATCTGACTCCCATAGCCACTGGACTTGGGGCCAGCCTCCTTGTTTCTAATCTAAAATGCTTCAGAACAAACCAAATAATGAATTATATATTATTAGGAAATTCTTAATCTGTTTTTTGGAGAGGTTTTGCTATAGGCTGTGTGCACTCACCAGGAGAGACACAGAAAGTGAGAAATCACCCCCCAGGGGGGATCGCCATGCCACAATCCCTTCTCTGTTCTCCTCTCAGGATCTTGGGCTTGCATGCACATGCACCCAGCATGAGTTTAAGCTGCTAGGTTCTTTACTTGAACCACAGTCAACTACATGGGAATCCAGCAACATAGCCATTATGCCAGCTGCCAGCCCCAGAAATTCTTAATCTGTACTATACTGACTTATAGTATGTTTTATATTGTACAAAGTTCAGTTTATAATTTAGACTTAAGTTTCTATTTTTAATTTTTTTTTGAGAGATTTTTGTGTGTGCAGTTGCTGCAGAGACAGAAAGCAAGAAATCACTACCCTGTTGGGGGTTGGCCATGCCACAATCCCCTCTCCTCCATTCTTTCAGGATCTTGAGCATGTTTCCACATGTGCCCAGTATTAGCTTTAATCTGCCGGGTCCAGGACTTGAACCATGGTGGACTACGTGAGAGTTCAGTGACATAACTGTTACACCATCTACTGGTCCCTTAAATATGTGTTTTAGTTTCTGGAGGACACATGTACTTGCCAGAGACAGAAGGAAAAAGCACCCCTCCCCCAGTTGAGTATGGTCAAACTAGTCATACTGCAATCCTTTCTCCATTTCTCCATTGTGTCAGGATTCTGGCCATGGGTCCACATACATCCAAAGTCATTTTCAAGCCTTGGGGCTAGCATTCAAACCATGTTCAGCCATGTGGGATCTAGCTCCCTTAACTACTAGGCTTTGAGGCAGTCACCTAGACTTCAGTGTTTAAAAGCAGGAAGATTTATATTCAAGAAATACTTGTTTAGGACTGACCTAAAAGCTCTAAGCAGGTTTTAGTCCAGAGGCTGTGGGATCCAGATCCCACGTGGCCAACCACTGTCTGAATCCCAGCCTGACATAATGCAGCATGTGTGTCCAAAGTTCTGACAGGATGGAGAATGGGAGGGAAAGGATTGTGGCATGACTGTGCTCCATTGGAAGGGTGTTTTTTTTTCTCTCTCTCTCTGTCTCTATGTCTCTGTCTAGTGAACACGTGCTCTGTGGAGGTAAAATTAAAAAATATATATATTTTTTGCCTTATTTGTAGTTGGTACTATGCATATGCAGATGCAACTCAAAAT